TACTGAACCATGATTGGATCCATTTCCACAAAACAGCTATAACATATGCTGGTGGGGCAGTTGGGAAAATAGGATATGGACTAGATTTTCTTGTAGATCTATTGTCTAGTTGTTTTCTCCATGATTGAAGGTGGGATACTGAAGTATCCAACAATCCTCATTGAATTGTCTATTTCCTCCTTCAATTTTGTTGGTTGTTGATTGCTTTATGTGTTTGGGGACTCTGTTGTTAGGTAAACATAGGAGTATAATTGTTATATCTTCTTTATGGATTAACTCTTATCAGTATAAAATATCCCTGATTTTTCTCTAGTACATTGTTCTTTGTTTTAAAGTTGACTTTAGTTGATATTAGTATATCCACTCCAGCTTTCTTGCTGTTTGCATAGTATTTCTTTTTTTCAATCCTTTTACTCTCATTATGTTTGTATCTTTGAATTTAAAGTGTATATCAAATATAAGATATGTAGTTTGATATTAAAAAGAATCCATTCTGGTAATCTCAGCCTTTTGATTGGGTTGTTTAATCCATTTTTATTTAATTTTGTTATTGATATGATTGGATTTACATCTGCCATTTTGCTTTTTGTTTTCAGTCTGTCTCATCTTTTTGTAGTTTTTTCTTCTTTACTGCTTTGTTTTGCATTGAGTATTTTCTACTGTAACAATTTGATTCCATTAATGATTTTTTAAACTATATTTTTGAGGTTTTTTTTCTTAATAATTGCTCTAGGGTTTACAATATACATCGTAACTTATCAGAATTGACTTCAGAGTTATGTTAATTTAATCTCAGAGAGATATAGAAATAGTATTCTTATGTAGCTCAATTTTTGTTCTATTCCTGTTACACATATTATGTCTGCATATATTATAAATGCCACAGTGTATTGTTACAAAAATTACTTTATATAATATATGGGTATTTTTAGAGAAGTTGAGATAAGAAAGGAAAGCAAGTATTTATTTATAGAGTTTATTATATTAAGCTTCCTATTTTTCATTTTTGGTTCTGTACATGTTTTCCTGTGAATTCAAGTTAGCATCTGGTATCATATTTTTATTCCAATTTAGCTTTATTCTTATCTACTTCCTTTGTGTGGTTATTGTCAAGTATATTACATGTATATATGTTACAGGCCTTATAATACAATATGCATATAGCTTCGTGCCATTGCTTTTTAAATCAGTTAAGGGAATAAAGGAAAATAAATATACAATCATAATATCTCCTCTAATTACCCATATAATTACTTTTACTGGTGTGCTTTGTTTTTTCATATGGCTTTGAATTACTGTCACTTGCTTTCAGCCCAAACAAATACCTTTAGTATTTCTTTTAAGATAAGTCTTTTACCAATATATTCTCTCAACTTTTCTTTATCTGGAAATGTCTTTATTTTGCCTTCATTTTTGAAGGATAGTTTTGCTAGATAGAAGATTCTTGATTGACAGTTTTTTCTTTCTTTCAGCTTTTAACTATCTCATCCTGTTTTCTTCTGGCTTCTATTGTTTCTAATAAGAAATGAGATGCTAATTTTATTGCAGTTCCCATCTAAATGATACATTCATTTTTAGGTTTTTTTTCTGCTTTCATGATTTTATCTATGACTTCCAGCATTTTGATTTTGATTATGTCTAAATGCGTATCCCTTTATCCTATTTATTGAGCTGCTTAGATGTGTAGATTAATTCTTTGTACTAAATATAGGAAGTTTTCAGCTATTATTACTTTGGATATTTTTCTACTCATTTTTCTCTCTCTGTCCTTTTGAAGCTCTCATTATGTATATGCTGTTTTATTTATCTCTGGTGCTCTGTTCATTTTTTCTTTCACTTTTTTCTCTGTTCTTCTGAATATGTAATCTTTATTAATCTATTTCCAAATACACTGATTCTTTGTTCTGCCAGCTTAAACCCACTATTGAGGCCCTCTGATGAATTTTTTATTTCGGCTATTATTCTTTTTAACTCTAGAATTTCCATATGATTCTTTTGTATAGCTTTTATCCCCTTACTAATATTCTTCCTTTTATAGACCATTGTCATCATATCTTTAATTCTTTAAACATGGTTTTCTTTAGTTCTTTGAACATACCTAAATAGCTATTTGGAGTGTTTGTATGTAAATATAGACCCTCTCAAAGCAATTTCTGTGGCTTTTGTCCTGTGTGTGGGTCACACTTTACTGTTTTTTTACATGTCTGTCTCTGTCTCTCTCTCTCTCTCTCTCTCTCTCTCTCTCTCTCTCTCTCTCTCCTGCTAAAAAAACTGAACATTTTACCTAATATAGCAACTCTGGATGCTGATTTTCCCCAACCCACATGCCAAGTAGGGTTGTTGTTTGCTTGCATGTTTATTTGGTGACTTAGCTGGACTAAGTCAGTGAAATCTATTTCACCTACAATGTACAACCTTCTTATCCTGCTCCAGATAGTTTTTTCTTGTTTTTATCTTTAATATGGTTTTCTGTAGAATACTTCTGGTTCAAGATCATTTAGTGGTCAATAATTGATCAGAAGTTTTGTTTAACCCTGAACCAGCAAAGTTTTCATCTTTTACTATTGGATCTGGTGTGGCTTAGAGTATATGAATTTATCCTACAAGTAGTAACTTTAGAAGTTTTCTCTCCAGTGTCTCCTCAGAGGACCATCAGGATGACTATAGTTTTAGATGGGATCTCTTTGACTGTCTTAGTCTCTGATCTCCCTATTGAGCTTCTGGCTGGTCTGCCTCTATAATATCACATCCAGCTGTTACCCTTCAGTCATTGCCTGCTCTCTGCTCTTGGTGTTATCCTTCCTTTTCTTTTGAAGAGTAGCATACACTTGCAGGTCAGTAGTTTTATTAACCTATATTCCGCCTCTATAATTTTGACAGTCCTCTATTTCATTATGTCTCTTTCGGTCCAGGTGTGTAGTGTTTCTGCTGACATTGCATTTTTAAAAAACCCTGTGAATTTTCCATGTCTGTCTGAGGATTCATACCAGCAGACAACAGGATCTTTCACAGATCTTTCCACAATCCCATAAATTTTCCTGCCTTCTGCTGAGATGGTTGAGTGAGCCCATGAGTCACATGCCTACACTCTTCAACACTAGCAAACGTTTTCCAGTGATACCCTTGGCCTTCTCTCCAGAGCGTCCTTTTCTTATAGGAATCTCCAAATTTTATCATGTTTTTCCAATCTGTATAGACTCAGAATTTCCCAAATCATCATGCTTTGGTTTCTTTTTGCCTAACAGTTCTTTCCTCAATTTATCTTTTCACATTTTACTCTAGGCCCAAGAAGAAACCAAGTAGTATCTTCAATGCTTTAATGGAAATCACTTCAGCCAAAAATCCAACTAGTATCACTTACCAGTTCTACTTTTCACACAACTTGTTGGACACATCTAGGCTTTCTGCCACTATATAACAAGGCTCTCCTTTCCTCTAGTTTCTAAACATGTGTTCTACATTTCCTTCTGCGTCCTTTCCAGTAGTGCCTTTAACATTCATTTTTGCACCAACATTTCGTTTATTATGATGTATGTATTCTCTAAGATGATACAGATTTTTCTCCACTGTGCTCCTCTTGAGTTTTCACTTGGTAGAGCCTTCAACATCTGTATTTCTACCAAATATCTATTCAAGGCAATTCAGGCTTTTCCTATCATGTGCCTCAAAATTCTTTTAGCCTCTACTCATCCAGCTCCCAAGCCACTTCCATTTTTATTTATTTGTTATAATAGCATCCCACTTTCTGATACTCAAATCTGTATTGGCATACTGTGACTGCTGTAAGCTATTACCACGAACTGGATGGATTAAAGCAACAGAAATATGTTCTCTCGCAATTCTTGCCAAAAGTCCAAAATTTTTAATAAGAGAAGAGTATTACTGGGTTAAAATCAGAGTGTCAATAGATCTTCATTCTTTCCTCTTACTGTAGAGGATACTCTGTTACCTGCCTCTCTCAGCTTCTGGTGGCCACATCACTTCAGTCTGCCTTTGTCTTTTCATTGCCCTTTTGTGGAGAGAGAGAGAGAGAGAGAGAGATATCTTCCTCAGCCTCTTTCTTATAAGGACACTTGTGATAGTATTTAGGGCTATAGTGAGCTATGATTGGACCACTACACTCCAGCCTGGTTGACAGAATGAGACCCTGTTTTGAAAAAACATAAACTAAAAAATAAATTACTTTTGTTACTATAGAAACCCAGTCCTGCCGGGCTCGGTGGCTCAGCCTGTAATCCCGCACCTTTGGGAGGCTGAGGTGAGTGGATTGCCTGAGCCCACGGGTTTGAGACCTGCCTGGGGCAGGCGAGACCTCATCT